CCTCGCGGTTGCAAAATATCATGAATCATATTTCTAGCCCATCATTCCCATTTCATTTTTCAATATATATGAACATGAAGATACCTTCAACCTGAAGAAAGGGTGCTACCACCATAGTTGAAGCATCCACCTAGACATCTGAGGAAAAAATAAATAGAGTACCAAGAACCACCCATGAGGTCTATTCATTGTGGTAGGTGTGGCAAGTTTGGTCATAACAGAGTAACATGTCGAGCTCTCATTGGATAAGAGGTTAGTATGGATATGTTTGTCTAGATATGCATACATTGGCACATGCAAATTCCATACATTTACACCACATACAATATACACTATGTACGTATATAGTATTTGGATACTTTATAAATAGCATGCATATACATGTGTGTATGTGTTTGTGTGTGTATCGTTTTCATATGTGTCGTTTTGGATCGGGACCTACCCGTTTAGGACAGGTGAACCGGCGGGTTACCGGTTTCGTGGACCCAATCCCTAGCCAGCTTCCAAATTCAGTTCGATTTGTCAAAGAGAGAGAGAGGCTCTGAGAGGGAGAGATGGCTAAAAGCCTCTCCCTCTATTTTATTATTAGATAGCTTTTTTTGGGTTGGGTGGGGTGGTGTGGCCGGCAATAGCGCCAAGCCCATATTGACACATAATTTCAGGCTGGGTTGGGCTTTACAAAGAATTTTCGGGCCAAGTTCCCCCTGGCCTGAATTATACATTTGGGGCAGGGGCTCCTGGTCAGCCTGAGAAATTTTCGGCTTTTCCGAGCCTGGGCTAGGACAACCCGAGCCCACCCATCGACTGGCCTTGGGGTCAGATCATAAGTCATGTTATGTATGATAGGTATGAAGTCGAAACGGTTCCTTGGGGTTAGTTTTAAACGGAGATAGAGATTGAAGAAGAAAGGAACTTTTAAATTCAGATGTTGCTATCACCTACTTCTCCCTGTCCAAAAGCAAGAATGGAACCTTGGTTACAAATTCTTTGACGTTATTATCAGAAGGGCCCCCCTCTGCAACAGCCTCCCTAGCCTGATCTCTCCACCTCTGTGCATTCGCCCTTATGTGAGCCCCTCGCTCCCCTTCCATTACCTCTCTTATGCATCTCTCCAGCTCTCCTTTAAGAACGAATCCCTTGTTGCCGACCTCGAGACGAGCACCCGTGATCCAGACGTCCGAAACAAACTTCGCATTGGTAGGGTGGTACCTCCGCTGGGGAACTGTGACCATGGGCACCCCTTGGCTTAACCCCTCCAGCGTTGAGTTCCATCCGCAATGAGTCACGAAACAACCGACCCCTCTATGTGCCAGGACATGAAGCTGAGGGCACCATGGCACCACCAATCCTTGCTCTGATGTGGCCTCTACGAAGCCCTCAGGTAGTGAGTTTCCGCCCTTTTGGTGTGCATAGGGGGCTTTAACCACCCATAGGAATGGCCGGTTGCTCGAAAGCAAGGCATTAGCGATCTCCTCCATTTGCTCTGCGGGTAAAGTCGCCAAGCTCCCGAATGAGACATACACTACTGAGCTGTCCGGCCTCTCATCTAGCCAACGGAGGCAGTCTGCAGGGTGGCTCTCGTGTTCCTACCATTCAAGTAGGCTAATGGGAGTACCGGCCAGATCATTTTCAGGGACCATGGCTCCACCATCTCTTTTCTCGCTTCTTCCTCTAATTTGTCAAATGAGTTCACAAGGACAAAATCTGCTTTGCCCATGTTCTTGAACTGGCCCAACATCATTTCAAGGATCAATGGGTTGCTCTCAGGTTGGGCAATGAACGAGGGGAGGTCTCGTAAGCCCAGTGGCGGCATTCTGGGAAGAAAAACACACATGTCCGGATTTATCTGCAGACCGCAGCCGTAGTAACAATACATCAAGCACACTGCAAGAGGCTGTGTTATAAAGGTGGCTCCTAGGAGGCCATGGGCATGGGCAAGCTCCAAGGCCCAACTAAGGAACGAGTCATATATGAGACAAACCGGTCGGGGACCTTCTACAGTGAGTCGAGCTATGAGCTCGAGCAATTTCTTCGAGCCAACACACTGGAAAGTAGTCCTATATATCTCAACATCGAAATTCGATGGCAAGCCATCATCGTAGCCATCCGAGATGTACTCAAGGCAGGCAGCGGCAACGGCCCGGGGATCGGCCTTACCAATATCGCCACGGTTTTGGATGGGGACCACGAGAGTGGCCCTGAGGCCATTGATAGCAAGGCGATCGGCAAAGTGGAGCATTGGGTTTATGTGGCCTCGGCAAAGGGAGAGAAGCACCAGGACATGGGCACTCTTGCCCTTCTCCTCCTCCATTCCCTATGCTTGTTTTACTGAGTTTGGTGCAGGGAGTGGAGCATGAGAGAGGGGGGCCCTTCTGTTTGATTTGTAAGTTCTACCACTTATATATGGAAGTGTGGTTCATGCACTAATCGCTTAGGTGTGCATTAGGGATCTCTTTTGTGGTAACTGGGCAGGTACTTTGACAAGGTTCGGTAGATAAAGAAAAGTAAGCCAAAAGATTTCCTGTACCCTCGGGAGTATACTATCATTTGCTTTCTCAAGTAGAGTATACTATCTATTTACTTTCTCGGGCAGAACACATGCTATATAATTATTTTAGTTCTCAAATTTAAGGGATGCAATCTCTACAAACCATAAAATAATCTGGCAAAAACAATTTCTGAAATAAACTCTTATATGTACTAGAAAACAAACTAATGCCTTAAGTTAAGAGTGATTTGTGAGGGGCTAAATCTAATTTCATAAAACTCAAAATTCATTTTTTTCTTTTTAAAATAATCATCATGTAATTATTATATGGATTTAAAAATGTTATAACTAAAAAAAAATTCTTTAAACAGTATCCAAGAAAGGAAAGAATTGCACAGTATGCTCCTGAGAGAGTACAGTATATGCACTCCAAAAGTAAATTGGTTCAAGCCTTCATCCGTCACATTTCCCCTAGTTATTGTAGTAAGCAATGACGCATATGTTTCCACCAACTATCGTCTCCATGTGTTAGGCCATTCGTGTGGTTCTATTTTTATTTGGGTGCAGTTTGTACGAGGCTCTAAACAATCAAAGTAAAGTGCACTTTCAAATAGCATCGAGAAATGTGGTTTCAATATTAGAAATTTTTATTATAGTTTTAAAATAATTTTT